TTGTTCAATTTTATAACTCTAATGGAAGATGTGGGCTTTTTACCACAGGGGAAGAAAACAAAAGAGGAGAGTCATTTCAATAAAATGCCTGTTCAAAAGGTGTCCAGAATGAAAGCTAGGCAAACAGCCTACATCCAACCATAGGTTACCCCACTGTTGTTCATCTGTGCCCCTGAAGTAATTACCATTCTGAATGCTGTGCTTTTAATTTCTTTGCTTTCATTTCTTTCTTTCTTTTTTTCTGAGACGGAGCCTTGCTCTGTCGCCCAGGCTGGAGTGCAGTGGAACGATCTCGGCTCACTGCAACCTCTGCCTTTTGGGTTCAAGCGATTCCGCTGCCTCAGCCTTCTGAGTATGAGTAACTGGGGCTACAGGCATATACCACCATATCCGGCTAACTTCTGTATTTTTAATAGGGACGGGGTTTCACCATGTTGGCCAGGTTGGTCTCGATCTTCTGACCTCGTGATCCACCCGCCTCAGCCTCCCAAAGTGCTGGGATTACAGGCGTGAGCCACTTCCCCGGCCTGCTTTCATTTCTATATCATTTTACATAATATGTAATATTTCATATATAATACAATGAAAATAATATTTTCTATGTTAGTTGTTTTTAACTTTATAGAAAGTATCAGATGTGATCTTTTGAGACTTACTCATTTCAATGACTCTTATTTTGCATAGATTAAAATTTGCTAACATTGAGAATTGCTAAGAGTAAGTCTGAAGTTTCAGAGGAACCCAGGGATAAGTTCTGAAGTTTCAGAGGTGTACCAGCTGGTGCATGAACTCTCCTCTCAGTCCAGCAGAGGGTGCAGAGCTCCCATCGGAGCAGGTGCTGTGCTGAACAGGATTATGCATGACAGAAATTCGTGGAACCAAAGGACATTAGAAAGAAGATGGGACAAATAACCCAAATCATGGTTCCAATGTACTGTTGACCAAAAGGACCAGACCACAACCAGATCCAACCAGATAGAGAAAACAAAATCAGGGGATGGAAGCCTAGAGAAATTGCTGTGGGGGCTAGAATATAGAGGTTTGTACTGTCTTATATGAGATCTGAAACCTTACCCAAAAATGGGAAAGAAGCTCTTAAATAGTGCTAAGTTTACGACACCTGGTTTATGACACCCTCATGTTGTTTTCTCAGTTTGGTTAGAAAGTCCATTGCTGCTCTTGTTGTAAGGTGAGTCCTAGACATTCACAGCCCACCTCACACTCCACTGGCTGTATTCCTTTCCAGAGCCCTGGAGACCGTCTTCATGAATAATAGGAGCTTCATCTTATCCCGTTCAACTTTTGCTGGATCTGGCCAATTTGCTGCTCATTGGCTGGGGGACAATGCGGCCACATGGGATGACCTCCGATGGTCAATCCCCACTATCCTTGAGTTCAACCTGTTTGGCATCCCTATGGTGAGCCTTATTTCCAACCAGGGAACTTTAACCCTTTGTCTGTTGACATTCTTTTAATTAGCAGTCTTAGAGATTATCTGAAAAACCAAGGAGCATGTTCCAAGGTGATATGTATTGGAAAAATCAATTTTTATGTGCTACCTGAGCTGCCTTCTGAAGATAGAATGGTAGTACTTTATCACTGAGTTGTCATCCGTGGAATCTCTGAAGATAGGATGGAGACAGCATGAATAAAATGTATTAGTATCACAGGAAAATTCCATCAAGAGAGCATTAGTAAATAAGAAAGTATGAAATTGGGAACTGAATATTAAGGAACAGCCTCAACACAAAGACCATTGTTTGCACTATCAGTGAGTCCGTGATGGATTCTATCTTGTTTCTCTCCTGTGGCTGGGAGTGTGCCCTGTGACTCTGGGATCTCCTTAAGCATGGAATGATGTGACTAAGAGGTTCTCCTTTCCCTTATCATGTAAGTACTCACTACATGCTTTCACATCTCATTGACTACTGTGCTTGTATGTGTGTTAATTCTCCAGGTAGGTGCCAACATCTGTGGTTATACCAACAATGTCACAGAGGAGCTCTGCAGAAGGTGGATGCAGCTTGGAGCATTTTATCCACTACCAAGGAATCACAATGGGCCTGGGTTCAGGGTAAGGTCACCAAGAGAAGTGATGGAAACTTTTTGGATTAGCTAATCTACTGGCTCTTAAAGAGGATTTGAGGAAAATAGTACTACAGGTTGGCACTAACTGCAGAAGAAAGATAAAAAAGTCTTGTATCATAGCCTTAAAAAGCAGGGTATCAATCAAGGTGAGGGTGCATTGGAAGGGGTATGTATATACTGAATGATTTTATTCTTGGAAACTCACCAACAAAGTGAGAAGATTTGTTAAAGTTTCTATGGTGCTGCCATCACTTCTGTTACTATCTTATATAAGATAGGGCAATTGGAATTTGTTGGTATTTTATTTCAATTAATACAGGGAAATCCCTCATAGGTATGGAGGAGCAAGGAGAAAGAATTTAAAGAGGCTTAGGCCAGTGATCTTAAAATTTTTTTCACCTCGTTGAAACATTCTACCTTTCTATGAATAGTTGGGAGGACTTACCAACTATTTCTCATGACTCATTCCACCTTTAGGATCTTCCACCCAAAGTAGTAGTTTTGATGGGCAAATACATAGAAGTGGGTTCAAAGTCCCCCCTAAGGAGGTGGTTATGATGATGGCAGAAGCAAGTAGGGTGAGATATCCTTTCTTTTAATAAAGTAATCTTAAGTTGAAATATTTTCAATTGAGTGGTTTAACTCTTAATAGGTTCATTAGAATAACTTCCTAATGATCATTTTAGCTCCAGCTCTTGACTTTGTCTTTAACCCAGGAAGGGTTAACAGTCAAACCTCAAAGTATTTTATCCCTGGGCTATTCTGGCCACTTATGATCTGGAGAGAGATGAATTATTTCTAAATGTCTAAGCAGGTGGCTGGGAGCAGGTGGGTGGGTGCTCTTCATGCAGCCATGTCCTGGAAGACTTACATAGATGAGGGCACTCAGATAACCCAGGAAGCTAGGTTTAAACACATGTTTTCTTTTGACTAAACTAGCTCTATTCAATAAAATTATAAGGACAGCCACATATGTCAGTTTAAATTTAAAAAGTACAAAGAGGCCGGGCACGGTGGCTCACACCTGTAATCCCAGCACTTTGGGAGGCCAAGGTGGGAGGATCACCTGAGGTTGGGAGTTTGAGACCAGCCTGACCAACATGGAGAAACCCTGTCTCTACTAAAAATACAAAATTAGCCAGGTGTGGTGGTGCATGCCTGTAATCCCAGCTGCTCGGGAGGTTGAGGCAGGAGTATCTCTTGAACCCGGGAGGCAGAGGTTGCAGTGTGCCAGGATCACGCCATTGCACTCCAGCCTGGGCAACAAGAGCAAAATTCTGTCTCAAAAAAAAAAAAAAGTACAAAGAAACAGGGACATTATTTTAAAAATACTTTATATAGCTCAATATGTATATATATGTGTGTGTGTGTATGTGTGTGTGTGTGTGTGTATTACATAGCATTATCATTTCAACCTGTGTTTAACACAAAATATTATTAACGAGCTATTTTATATCCTTTTCATTCTACTCGGTCTTCAAAATTTGGCATGCATTTTACACTTGTAGCATATCTCAATTTGTATGCTAAGATTTTTTTGTATGCAGTTGAAGTAAAATGCTTTCCTACCAAAGCAATAAAGTTGGTTTAATGGAAAAAAAAGATTACATTGATTCAGTTTTAAGATGTATATTTAAAGTAACTATCATCAAATAAAATGTAAAGTTTACTTCCTCAGTCTCAAAAACACAGTTCAAGCGTTCAGTAGCTTCATGTGGTTCGTGGCCACCATAGTGGGCAGCACAGCTCTGGACTTTCTTAGTTGACAACCAGGGTGATGGAGGCTGTGGAGTGTTACTCTCTTTAATATTTGACCTCCGAGTTTTCATGAGCCCTACACTGGGTGCATAGAGTGGTCTCATGGAATCATTCTATTTAGAGGGGAGAAATGGGCCTCTTAGGGAGCAAAAGAAAAAAAAAAGTTTGGGTAACTTTATCCAAAACTCATTCTCAGTAACACAGTATAGGATGACAAGTCAAAAGATGATGTGTATATCTTTCGCATCTTCCAAATTACTTGGGAAATGAACAAAATGAATGCTGACCATTGATGGAAAATTTCCATCTCTGGGTCCAAGGAAAATTAGATTTTTCTTCTAAAGGGTTATTATTTTACTCTTGGATAAAATCTGCTAAAAAACATCTTCATAATTTATTTGCACAATGTATGTCAAAGAACAAATATCGGTCACTAGTCTTTGGGATAGGGAAAATAAAACAAATGTTGGTGGTGGAAACATTACAGATAAACTTATATTATTTTCCAAATAAAATATTATGAGAAACCTCAACATATAAAATAAATTGGAACAAACCTGGAAGGAGCAGGTCCCACTTTATCTCCATGGCAACCTCTGTGGGGCTTCCATTTCGCTCTGGGGATGCTGCAAACTGCCCTCAGAGGACAGACATCAACTTTTTTTTTTTTTTTTTTTAAAGACTGTCTCATTCTGTTGACAGGTTGGAGTGCAGTGGTGCGATCTCAGCTCACTGCAACCTCCTACTCCCTGGTTCAAGCAATTCTCCTGCCTCAGCCTCCCATGTAGCTGGGATTACAGGCATGTGCCACCTCACCCAGCTAATTTTTGTATTTTAGGAAGAGACAGGGTTTCACCATGTTGGCCACGATGGTCTCCATCTCCTGACCTCGTGATCTACCTGCCACGGCCTCCCAAAGTGCCGGAATTACAGGCGTGAGCCACCTGATCCGGCTGATAGACACCAAATTTAAACTCTGCCACTTGCTTGCAATTCTCCATTGGGAAAGTCATATAATCCTTGATATTGTTTTCTCATGTATAAAATGAAGGAGTAGGATCAATATCTTTTCAGTTCTAGAAATGCTTTAATGTTCTCCAAGTTGGAGGAAGTGGCTACTTTCATCTGGGAAAGCTTCTTATTGTAAGAGAACTTCTGAACTATGATGGAAAGAAATATTCAGCCTTTCCTTCCCATTTTCTCACAGGACCAGGATCCTGCTGCCTTTGGTGCTGATTCCCTGCTGCTGAGTTCCTCCAGACATTATCTGAACATCCGCTACACCTTGCTGCCCTATCTCTATACCCTTTTCTACCGTGCTCACACCCAGGGAGAGACGGTGGCAAGGCCCCTTGTACATGAGTGAGTTTCCTGATTCTCAAAGACTCCCTTTCTGATTTGTAGTTTCACTTGACTTTGTTTGTGGTAGCAAGCTTAGTTAGGATCTTGTTACATAATGTGCTATTGTCCTGTTTTGGAGACTTCACCTGCCTTCACTGTACTACCTCTTTACTAGGTTCTACCAGGACTCAGCCACGTGGGATGTGCATGAGCAGTTCTTATGGGGACCTGGACTCCTCATCACGCCTGTTTTATATGAAGTATGTTTATAATCTAAACAATGAAAGGGGGTATTGTGCTTGTCCTCGTGGTTCTATAGCTGGATGAGTTGGTTTCTGAGTATCTGTGACTGCATTTATATCAAAATATGAATATAAATGAGAGAGAGATCATGAAAGTCTGGAAAGTTTTAAAAAACTAGTAATCTTGGTCCTACTGCCCCACCAAACAAAACAATTTTCATGTTGTAAAATTGCCTTAAAATTAAAGCCTAACTCCTTAGGCATATGGCTGCAACACTAACAATGGCTTTAAATACTTTGGGGGGTGTGTGCTGAACATCTGTCTGTATTTTCCTTTGTCCAGAGCGGGTGTGCTCTTGAATTGGGTTAGGCTGGGCTTCAAAGAGAGAATACCTGTGGAGACGAGAAGGGAGGGAGAGAGGAATGCTGGGCAAAGGGAAGGTGATGCTCTGAAGTCCAACTCTGAAGGACCATGTGTATCCTATTAAGTGTGATTGGAAGCAGGGGTGAGTGGCAAAGTGTGGGGCAAGGATCAGAAGGATGATGCTGATCCGCTTGTAAACATGAAATATTGCCAGTGTACCCATATCAAAGGCCCTTTGAGCTGGTGTTTTAGCCACACCATCTGATGACAGGTCCTGCTAACCAACCAGTAGCTCTGCTGGGAGACTTTCCTGGGGCCTGGCTGGCTCACTGTCCTCCTAACTGTCAAATTATGTGACTAACTCAGTGAATGGATGTTCTCTGCTTCTCTTAGAAAGTGCAGCAGCGTTGAGCAGAACAAATCATTTTTAGCTACATTCTGCTTTGGGTAAATTGCTCAACCTTTAAGTGTCTGTGTTTTCCTTTGTAGAATGGGATGATCTCAACCATCTCTCAGGATTGTTCAGATAAGCACATGCAATGATGCTTGGAGGTGTTTTGTAAACTGTAGAGTGGAGTATGCTAATGCTACTCATTGTTATTGTTTACCTAGGGTGTGGACGAGGTGAAAGCATACATACCTGATGCCACCTGGTATGACTATGAGACAGTAAGTAAGGCAGCCCCGGTTGGCTCAGAGACCTGCCTCTAGCAGAGGGCAATTCTAAAGCAGCAGTCTTGGAAGCTTGCCATAGAATAATAATACAAGATTTACAGTTAGTTGATTGTGGTCCTTTTTCTGTGAGAAACGCATCTTAATTGGTTCAGGATGGCGCAACAAAACACCTTACACTGGGTAATTTATAAACAACACGAGTTTATTGCTCACTTTTCTGGAGGCTGGAAAGTCCAAGATCGAGGTGCTGGCAGATTCCATGTCTGGTGAAGGCGCTCTCTGCTTCATTGATGGCACCTCCTTGCTCCTCCCTCATGATTTAATCACCTCACAAAAGGCCCCACCCCTTAATACTATCACTCTGGGTATTAAGTTTCAACATACAAATTTTGGAGGTACACCGGCATTCAGACCATAGCAGAAGGCCTTTCCAAATGTATGATGAAATAATTTGAATAACTGGAGTAAGTTTATGGAAATTCATTATATCAACCTGGCTACTGTGTAGCTATCAGGTCTAGGCTTTGCCATTTGACTGTGATAGCCTAGAAACTGAAGCCCAGGTGTGGAATGACAGCTTGATGTAATGTAAATAAATAAAGGGGGTTGGAGTGTCAGCTCTGCCTTCTACTACCCATATGCTTTCAGCAAGTCACTTCATTTTGGGGGTCTCTCTTTGTCTCTTCTTTAAAATACGTCAACTGAACGACATGATATCTAAGGCCCCTCCTAGCTGAAACAACTTATTACCTGGTCTATTGTTTTTGTTGCTGATTAGGGAGTGGCCATCCCATGGAGGAAGCAGTTGGTGAATATGCTTCTCCCAGGTGATAAGATAGGACTTCATCTGCGAGGGGGCTACATATTTCCCACTCAGAAGCCGAACACAACCACAGAAGCCAGGTAAGCTCCTCACTTTTCTAAGGTATGACTATTCTGGTGCTCTAATGGAGCAGGGCATTATGAGAAAGACAAATAGGGATTTTTGTGGATGAGCCAAGGGGTAAGTCACCCATCAGTAATCATCCCCTGCTCCTTTCAAAGCTGATCCAAAATTAGTCCTTATTTAGTAGATGGTAGTCTACTAAGGACATCTGCAGAGTCCTTCACTTTGGGATTGAATCAGGTTATAGAACTAGTCAAAATAATCACTGAGGAAGATTTCCCTATGGCCAGAAACTGTCTTTATGTATATTTCCTACTGTGTGAAAGAATTTGAGCTAAATAGGAGATGAAAGTTATCACGTGGAAGACAACATTGTTTGGGGGTCAAGAGCTCAGATTCTACAGAACCTGGGTTCAAGCCTTGGTTTGGGCTACATACTGGCTGTGTTTACCTTGGGCAACTTACTTCTCTGTGCTTCTTTTTATTATTGGTAAACTGTAGATGATGATAGTTTAACTTTGTAGAGTTATTATGAGGGTTAAATGAATTAATATAAATGATAATGTGTGTGGGACACTTAGAAGAGTGCCTGGCACATGCTAAGCACCTAATAAGGCTAATTGTTGATATTACGTATTGCAACCCAAACAGTTTTCAGTAGGAACTGCCTCTGTCCACCCTTCCCTTTATGTCCACTCACTGTCAATCCCTGCTGCCTGCCCACACCCAGCTCCTATGTGTCCACCCAATATCAACATCTACTTAGTTTCTGGTATAGACTCTTGGATTATCTGTCCCTGGGGCATGAAGGCAGCTAGTTTCACATAGTTCCATCTCATCTACATTCGCTGAAACTGGGAATTACTCTTTTACAGCCGGAGGAATTCCCTGGGACTCATCATCGCCTTGGACTATAAGAGAGAAGCGAAGGGGGAGCTGTACTGGGATGACGGTGTATCTAAAGGTAGACTTTCTCAAGACACCATTCCTGTGGATCACTGTGATTCTCCCTGAAAATTAGTCATCACAGGCTGCCCAATATGGCACTAGTCCTACTAGCACTCTCGTTTACATCTGTAGCTTAGAATCAATGGGTTAAAATCCATTCTGAAAATTCCATTAGCCAAGCACAATGCATTAAAATAGACTTCAAATGCACAAATTATGTGTTACTGACTCTGCCAAAGCAACGGACATTATTGCATTTAGCTTAATTATTCTCTTTCTTGGACATTATTATTAATAACAGATAATACACTTTTTTAATAGCTTTGGAAAATACTGCTTTGGTTTGTGGGAGAAATATCTGATTTGTATAGTGTGTCTTTTCACTGTAAGGTTTCCATGTAAACACCTCACATGAGCTTATGTGGTTATATAAAAATCCTGTCCTACATGGAATTAGTATGTATTGTGTTGACCTTGAGGAACTCATGATCCAGCAGGTTAGATACAATGCATATGTAGATAACTATAATGCAAATCAAAATGTTTTACATGCCAGTGAAATGGTGCCACAGACTGACATGTGAATTTAGAGAAAATGGTCCAGGAAATATTTGCAGAAGTTTGAAAAAAAAAAAAATGCACAGAACTCAGATGAGCAGAACTAGATGGTTGGTAAAGGAATTCCAGATGAAGAGAAGAGCAGGACTTCCTAGCTGCATGGCTTCTCATAGTAACGGGTACTGCTCTTTCTTTTTTAGATGCTGTAACTGAAAAGAAGTATATTCTCTATGATTTCTCTGTTACCTCTGTAAGTACTTTTTTTGAGGAACACACAGCGTATGTTCCTTGCTGTGATGGCTCTTTGAAATTTTAGTTTAATATAGACACGTGGTTATGTGCAACAGAGACAGAGTTTTACTGTCATGGTTCCAAAAAGGAATCAAATGAACATGAAAGTGTTTAATGTGTGTCAGGCTTATAAGCTGCTACAAAACCGGTATGAGTTCTGTGCAGAACTTACTTTTCCTGGAAAAAAAAAAAAAAAAGATTGCCTTTGCGTTTTATGTGATGGGTGCTGGCTTCCAAGATGTGCCTTTTTTGACGTTTGCAAGTGTATATGAGGTGTGGGTGGGTTAGTGAGTGGTGTAGCACCTTTTTAAGGTTCTTCCATAACGGCTCTCCTTCGTAGCAGGTAAAACTCGGCCTTTGGCACAGGTATCAAGCAGTGATTTTCAAAGGCTGGAAGCTACAGAACATCATTTGCCTCATATCTATTTCCCAAGGGTACTGAGGAATAAAAAGCAGCAAGGCTAGCAGAAAATGAGGGAATTCTCACGTGGTTTTCTTAGAAGCCTGTTCGTGTATAGGCAGAACTTTCTTTTGAGGCGGTCTCTCTCTCTCTTATTTCTCCTTTTAAATATATATATATGTGTGTGTGTGTGTGTGTGTGTGTGTGTGTATGTATCTACATCTATATCTATAAAAATGGATCTACTTTGAGATATAGAATATATATAATATTATATATATAAGATATAATATATATCTTAAAGTAACTTTTTTATTTTGAAATAAATAAAGATCTCCATGCAATTGTAAGAACTAGCACAGAGTTCCCACATACCCCTTTGCCCAGTTTCTTCTATGGTAACATCGTATAAACCTATAGCACAATCTCACAACCAGAATGCCGGCATTGATACTGTCGAGATACAGAACATTTCATTAGCACAAAGATCTCTCCTGCTGCCCTTTAACAGCATGTCCACTTGCTTCTCTCCCTATCCCTCCTCAGCTCTTGGCAACCAATCATCTGTTCGCCGTTTCTATAATTGTATCCTTCCAAGAGTGTTCTGTAAAGAGAATTAAATAGTTTGCAACCTTTGGGATTGGTTTTTTCATTCAGCATAGTTCCCTCAAAACCCATCCAAGTTGTGTGTGACAACGGCTTGCTCCATTTTATTGCTGAGTGGTGTTCCAAGTTATGGATGTACCACCTTTTAAAAATCACTCACTCGCTAAAGCGTATCTGAGTTGGCTCCAGTTGTGAACTGCTACAAATAAATTAAAATTGCTACTAACACTCATGTATAGGTTTTGGTGTGGACATAAGTTTTTTTTTGTTTTGTTTTGCTTCGAGATGGAGTCTCGCCGTGTCACCCAGGCTGCAGTAAAATGGCACAATCTCAGCCCAGTGCAACCTCTGCCTCCTGGGTTCAAGAGATTCTCCTACCTCAGCCTCCTGAGTAGCTGGGATTACAGGCACACGCCACCATGCCTGGTTAATTTTTCTGTTTTTAGTAGAGACGAGGTTTCACCATGTTGGTCAGGCTGGTCTCAAACCCCTGACCTCATGATTCGCCTGCCTCGGCTTCCCAAAGGTCTGGGATTACAGGCGTGAGCCACTATGCCTGGCCATAAGTTTTTATTTCTCTGTAATAAGTGCCTAAGACTGCAGTTGCTGGGTCTTATGGTAGTGCATGTTTAGTTTTATAATAATCTTTCAAACTGTTTTCCAAAATGCCTGTACCATTTTACACTTCCACCAGCAACATTTGAGTAATCTAATTTATTTGCATCATGGCCAGCATCTGATATTGTCACTATTTTTTTTAAGGCTTTTCTGATTGATGTGTAGTTATAGCTCATTGTGTTTTTAATTTGTATTTCTCTGATGGCTAATGATGTTGAACATCTTTTCATATGTCTATTTACCATCTATATATTTACATTTTTAATTTTGATGAATCTAATTTATCATTCTTTTCCTTATAGATTGTGCTTTTTGATGTCAAGTTTAAGATCTCTTTGCCAAGTCTTAGATTCTGAATATTATCTCCCATTTTAAAAAAATATAGTCTTACCTTTTACTTTTAAGTCTGTGATCTATTTTCGGTTAATTTTTACATAACATGTAAGATTTAGGTTGGGGTTCGACCTTTTGCCTGTGTATGTCCAGTTGCCCCAACATCTTTGTTGAAAAATCTGTCTTTGTAAAAAATCATTTGGGCATATATGTATGGGACTTCTAATTTTTTTAAATTATCACACTGACACTTTTTTCTTCAGTCTTAATTTCTACCTTCTTCTTTGTCATAGCTCAACCATGTCACCTTTGTTCTCTAAATAAGTTATTTAATTTTCTGTGCTTCAGTTTCCTCATCTGAAAAATCAGGGTAATTATAGCTTCAACCTCATAGTCTGCTGTGAAAACGGAATGAAATAATACATGTAAAATGCTTAGCACATAATACACACTCAAATACTCTTAGCTCTTATCATCATTATTAGTAAAATAGAAGGAAAAACTTACTTGGACCCTTTTGGTGTATATGTGTATGTCTTTATCTCTGTGTGCCAACGAGTCTCGTATCTTTTTATTTACTGTGTGAGTACCTATCTTGTCTGCTTGAAAATTCTACAGTGTCAGGGACAAATTTTCTGAGTAATAGAATCAGTAGAGAACCAGCAAACCAAAGGGAAGATGAAATATTGCTTAAAAATTTAAGATTGATAAGAGTCTGAGTGAACGAGTTCCCTAGGGATGATGACCTAGCAACATTTGAGACTACAAAGAAAAGGAAACAGCTTGGATCTCAGAAAATGAGATATTGACTGGTATTTAGGGATAATAAGAGTCTGAAGTACCTGATTTCTAATCTGACTTTTTTTTCCCCCCCTCCCAGAACCATCTACAAGCAAAGATTATAAATAATAATTACACGGACACTGACAACCTCATGTTTACAGATATCACAATCTTGGGAATGGACAAACAGCCAGCTAATTTTACCGTCTTACTGAATAATGTCGCCACCTCCAGTCCAAGCGTTGTCTACAATGCTTCCACAAAGGTAAGAGATCCTTCCATTCTGCAGGGTCCTTTCCAGAGGCCCTGGCTCTGACAGCCGGCCCTACTTTGCTCTTTTAACTGTGGGCAATCAGACACAACTGACTTGCTGCGAGGTCCAACACATCACAGGGAGGATGCAGGAGAAACATGTGCATGCTAAAGAAGGACCTCTCTGCTTTGTTTGTATCAGGGCTCTGTAGAAGATAGTGGGAGTTGGAACCCTGAGAGAAGGAAGTTCTTCTCTGGGCACACTTAAAATGAGACACTCTGATCCCAGCTGTGACATAGTGAATAGATTGTACAATGGGTATTTACACATTTATCCTCTCATTGAAGGGAGAATCTCTTTGAGAAACAGTTGAAATTTGTCCTTACTGTTTTAGGCTATTTGCATGCCATTAATAAAATGTGAGTGGAGTAACACAAGGAGTAATCCAGTTTTGCTCTTATTGAATGATTCCCTTACATTGTTAGTTGAATATTTCAAGGTCTGGGAAATTCATTATTTCTTAGATCAGCCCCTTTCCATGCTGACAAGACATATAGCATAAGGTAAGAGTTTGATTTTTAGAGTTAGGCAGAATGGGGCTCCAATCTCAGCTCTGAGGGTATTAGGTGTCTCTGTATCTTAGTTTTCTGTTCTGTAAAATGGAGATAGTCATAACATTGACAGCATGGAACTGCTCTCTAGGGTTGATGGAGATCATGCTTATTAAGTGGTTGTCACAGTCTTGGCTTGTGTGAATGCTCCATAAAGTTTAGCTATTGTTATTATTACTACCTTTATTAAATTGATAAGCATCACACCCAGAGGACAGTAAGCCTAACAATGACAGTCCTGCCTGTGATCTGCACTCATTAGCATGATGAAAACTCTTCCCATCCAACACTTCCACAATGACTCCATGAAGTGAGAAAGCCCAGGAATCAGCCAAGTTCCAAATATCTCATGGCAAAATGGTTTTGGAGGAAGGAATAGATCCCCTTGTCCTGACTTCCAGACTTGCAGCCAAGAACTCTTTCTGGGTGCCTTTCCCTCCCTTCCTTTGTCACTGTGACTGTCTCTTTCCCCAGGTGGTAACCATCACTGATCTCCAAGGACTGGTACTGGGACAAGAATTCTCTATTAGGTGGAATCTTCCTGTCAATGACCTGGAGAAGTTCAACTGCTACCCTGACGATCCAACAGCCTCTGAGGAGAGTTGTCGGCAGCGGGGGTGTCTTTGGGAGGTAAATGACCAGAAACAGATTAGGAAGTTGTAAAAACTGTCCCACAGGTAATAAGGTACCTAGAAAACACTCTTCAAATGTCTGTGGCTTGAAGAAAACCAGGACACTGTGCAACATGCCTTTTGCCAACTCTACATGATAGGTCATCAATATTTTCCCCAGATATCCCAGATCAGAAGAAATTTATTGCCATTTTCATTGCCACTCCAACCATATCATTAAAAACCCAATTTGAAACATAATAATATACATTGGGTAAGCATTTTGCATTGCATATTTTAACCGATCTTGTTTTGTCTATTGCAGAACACAAGCAGGAAGCATAAGGTCAGGCTGTTCCTCTCTATTTGAACAATAGGGAAAATGGAAACTAGAAAGAACAAGTGATTTCCTCTAGATTACATGGGAGGCAATAAGGACCCGGGGAGTAGAACCCTGCCTGCCTGGAGGCTTCTGTCTCTAGATCAAACTTTCTGCTGCTCTGTCACTGTTCACTCATTATAGGTCAATGTGTGTGTTTAAAAAATGAATGTGTGCATTTGCTAGGGCTACCATAACAGAGTACCACAAACTGAGTGGCATAGAACGACAGGAATCTATTTGCTCAAAATTCTGGAGTCTAGAAGTGGGATCATGGTGTCAGTGGAGCTGATTCCTTCTGAGGACTTTGAGGGTATTTCTTCGCTTGTAGATGCATCACCCCGTTCTCTGTCTTCATAGTCACATATGTACATGTCTATCTCTGTGTCCAAATTTTCCTTATTAATAAAGATGCCAGTAATACCGGATCAGGGCCTGTCCCAATGACCTCATCTTAATTTGTTCATGGCAGAAACCCTACTTCCAAATAGTCACATTTACAGGTATCAGGGTTAGGACTTAACATCTGTTTTGGGGGACATAATTCAATCCATAACCATGGACATGGTATCAGAGACTTAGTCTGTGTTAACCAACTTCTTCAGGAATGACAGCCTCAGTGTTGTATCAGAGGCTGAGCAAGACTGTCTCCTGTTGTTCCAGGACACATCTACTCCTGGAGTGCCCACCTGTTACTATGACACCATCCCTAATTATGCTGCTAGTGACATTCAGTATCTGAGCACCGGCATCACTGCAGACCTTTCCCTCCTGATGGCCTCTGAGTCAGCTGCTGCTGCTGCTGCTGCTGCCTCTGATTCTCTCTCTGCACAGATCAGCCTCCTCCGCCTGAATGTGATCTATCACACAGCAACCATGCTGCAGGTCAAGGTAAGGCCCATGTTGCAGATTCTGGTTCTCAATATGGAGTTTTAACTTATGGTTCTGTATGGATAGAAGTCATTGAAACAATTAAAACTTTTTTTTTTTTTTTCAAGACAGGGCTGGAGTGCAGGGGCACAATCTGTAACCTCCACCTCCCTGGCTCAAGCCATCTTCCCACCTCAGCCTCCCAAGTAGCCAGGACTATAGGTGTGAGCCTACATACCTGGCTAATTTTTGTAGAGACAGGATTTTGCCATGTTTCCCAGGCTGTTCTCAAATGTCTGACCTCAAGCAATTCACCTCCCTCTACCTCCCACTGTGCTGGGGTTACAGGCATGAGCCACTGTGCCTGGCTGAAACAGCTTTTTGTCCAAATCCCTCATATTACAGATGAGGGAACTAAGGCCTGTAGAGAGGTAAAGGTCATAAAGTAGACGGTAGAGCCAGGATGTGACCTTAGATCTATGAGAACCGTGAATTCCCTATAATGATGAGTATTCTAGGTCACAAACATCATCAAAGAATCATCCTCTAGCCCTGAGAAAAATGCATCTGCTTTGTGGCAAACTCATATGAGAGGCATTAACTTAATTGCACTATTAGAATTATTTTCTCTAGCAGTAGTTCTCAAATTACAGCATGCATCAGAATCACCTTCAAATCATTTTAAAACCCAGATTTCTGGCCCTCACCCCTAGGGTTTCCAATTCAGTAGACCTAGGCGGGGCCTAGCCTGAGAATTTGAATTTCTTTTTCTTCTTATTGTCTTTTTGAAATGGAGTTTCACTCTTGTTGCCCAGGCTGGAGTATAGTGGCACAATCTCGGCTCATTGCAACCTCTGCCTCCCAGGTTCAAGCGATTCTCCTGCTTCAGCCTCCCAAGTAGCTGGGATTACAGGCACCCGCATCTACGCCCAGCTAATTTTTTGTGTTTTTGGTAGAAATGGGGTTTCACAATGTTGGCCAGGCTGGTCTCGAACTCCTGACCTCAGGTGATCCACCCGCCTTGGCCTCCCAAAGTGCCAGGATTACAGGCATGAGCCACCATGCCTGGCCTCGAGAATCTGTATTTCTAACAAGCTCCCAGGTGAGGCTGGTGCTGCAGGTCAAGAGACCAAACTTTGAGACCTACTGCTATACGCACTTAAAAAATATGTCTACTGGAAATACAGTGTGAACCACACATATTTTCCAGTAGACACATTTTTAAATGTATATTTGAAAAGTGAAATTAATTTTAATAATATTTTATTTAACCAATGTGCAGGTGTGATCTACCTGTGTGTGATCGTGAGGTCAGGAGATCAAGACCATCCTGGCCAACATGGTGAAACCCTGTCTCTACTAAAACACAAAAAGTTAGCCAGGTGTGGTGGTGCGCGCCTGTAGTTCTAGCTACACAGGAGGCTGAAGCAGGGGGAATCACTTGAACGGAGGAGGTGGAGATTGCAGTGAGCCGAGGTCGCACCACTGCACTCCAGCCTGGCAACAGAGTGAGAATCCATCTAAAAATAATAATAATAAAAAGAAAGAAAGAAAGAAAAAAAACCTTCACCTAACCACAAATTTGGGGCTAATAATATGAGGAAGAAGATAGTCATTCATAATGGTGATACCCCTTGTCCTTGCATAACATTTTTCATTCCTTTTATTCTTCCCACATGTCAGTCCTGTTAGGTAAGTAGGAACAAGGGGTGGATACAGAAAAGAAACTTTAGGAATGGGAAAGCTGTGCAACATCTGGAAGCTCAACCAGTAAGGAGATCTCAGAGTCCACATGAAAACTCAATTCTCTAATTCCTAACATGCATACACACATACAAATTTACACAGTTCTATGCACATACATGTCTGCATGCCGCGCACTTACAAACATATACACACACATTCTATTTATGAAATTCTATCCCCTTCTATCACAAGTTCTTTAGAGGAAGAGCCCTCTTTGGCTTTGAATGGGTTTTACTGAGGCATTTTTGAACTTCAGCATCTGTATGGGGCACAGTGGGCAGGCAGGCCTCACATCCATTCGCTTGGGGATGTTTGATGCCTACTGATGTGGTACAAACTGGTCAAAAACCTGGAAACTGAATTATATGGGGTGGCATGAGGGGTTTTAGGTCTGAGACCCTACAAGAAAGTTTTCTTCTTTCTTCTTGCCAGATGTATGACCCCAGTAATAAAAGGTATGAGGTTCCAGTATCACTGAACACCCCTCCCCAACCAGTTGGTGACCCTGAAAACCGTTTGTATGATGTCAGGATTCAGAACAATCCTTTTGGAATCCAGATCCAACGCAAAAACTCCAGCACTGTGATGTAAGCACTATTTATTTGGTTCTAATTAGAGTAGTTCTAGATTTAATTACAGTGGTTACAGTTAATTCAAGTGAAATATTAATCTCAGAGACGCAATGGAAATATGTGTGCATTTGTTAGAGTATATCTATTTTTCCCAGGTTTTAATGGGTAATTTGTTTTTGGTTAGTCATTAACAAAAATAATCAAAGTTTAAAGAAATGAAGTATTGTTTGATTTCAGAGAAAGAAAAATACATGTTCTACTTATTGTTCTTAAGTAAAACAGAAAACTCTACTTAATAAGTACAGCAGATAAACTAAGATACAAATGAGTTCCATACTATGTCTCATTAAGAAATAATAAGAGGCAGGAGAGAGGGACAAATGTTAAAAAGGAGAAAGAAATAACTTCTTGTAATGTTTGCTTCTGTGGACGCAGAAGCCTTCAAGCCTGTTCACAATGTTAAGCATAAAAGGAATTGTCATCTCCCATCTCTTGTCCTGCTGCTGAATAGAATGAAGTGAAGGTCTGGATTTTGCCTGGGGCAAGGTTCCCTGTCCCAGTAGAAGCTGTCACCTGTGCGTGCACCTTTGCCTTCCTGTGTATGTCTTTTCTCTTTGGCTATGCGAGTGATTTCCTCTCTGTTGCCCTCTTTGGTAAGAAGTCCTTTGACTAACTCAAGAGAAATTGTTCTAAGAGTTTCACATTTTTCTGTTGGAAAGTTTGCTTTAACCCTATTTGTTTATTTATATATTTACTCAAGCCGATAAGCCAGGCACTGAGAACTTGAAATAAATAGAAGAATGAGTCATGGCCCTTGCTCTCAAGGACCCAGAAAAGGAGATCTCAGTCTGACAAACCACAGAACAGAAATGTGAACATGGAACTTTGGTTCTGAGTCAGGGCCATTGTTATGATCTCTGGGTCATGTCACAGTATTTGAACCTGTAATAATTAAGGAGGCTTTGGAATCAACTAGACATTCCAAACACATTCCAAGTAGCTCTGGCCAGTGGTCTCCAGCTCAGCGTGGTCTGCTTTTGTGTTGCAGTTGGGATTCTCAACTCCCTGGCTTCACCTTCAATGACATGTTTCTCTCCATTTCTACGCGTCTGCCCTCTCAGTACATCTATGGCTTTGGGGAAACTGAGCACACGACTTTCAGAAGAAACATGAACTGGAACACATGGGGGATGTTTGCTCGCGATGAGCCACCTGCGGTAGGGACAATGGAATAAGTTTAGCAATCAGTTTCTCTCAATGTAAATCTCTTTTAATCCTTATGCTTATATATGATACCTTACTCATCAACTTCATCTTATATTCTGCTCTCAGTTGTAACAGGCCATATGTCACATTCTTTTGTCCTGAAGAGGCATATATATATATATATATTTCCCTCTGTCAATTATGGATTTTATTTATCTCACAAACTTTTACTTAATATATTCTATGTGTCAGGCACATTGCTAAGTGCTTAGCTATAGATTTAATAAGATACTCTCTTTGCTCTCCAGAGGCTTATAGGCTAGTGAGAGAAATAGAAGTGGAAATAGTGATAGCATAGTGGAATCACTGGGTTATGTAATAATATATCATTGAATTAAATAATAGTAAATGAGGAAGGCATGAAGTGGGGAAGACACAGCTTTTAACTTGGAGTAGAAGGGAGGGTCAAGGAAGGCCCAACAAAGGACATGACATTGAGCTGAATCTTTAATGATGAGTAAGAGTTTGCTGTTTGGGTTATGGTATGAAAACAATATCTTGAACTTTCTTTTTGTTTATTACCCTCGTGACTCCCAGTACAAGAAGAATTCCTATGGTGTCCACCCTTACTACATGGCACTGGAGGAGGATGGTAGTGCCCATGGAGTGCTCCTGCTAAATAGCAATGCCATGGGTAAGGCAGAGGCACAGCTCCCGTGCACCACCAGAAACAGCTGTAACCACTCTATTTTGACCTGGATTATCAATAGAAATAGAGGCATTCAGGGGGCAAGGGAAATGGAACAAATAAACTGACTTTCCATTTATTCATCTATTTATTCAAGATTTATTAAGAACTCTGGATCAGGTGTTAAGCGTGGAATTTTGACCAATTATGGCTCCTACTCTGGCATAGCGTATTTTACTGTGAAACTTTGGCTCCTATTCACAGAGTGATAAAAGCAGTTGAGGTTGCATATTACATTTGGGGTACCTGCAAATACACCTCTGATTCTAATGAATGAGAGATTTTCTAGAGAAGGCAGGTATCAAAGAGAGAGTGTGAAGAAAGCAAATTTTAGAGCAGGTTTTCTATCTGGGTGATTTACACCTCCAAGGATGTGCCTCATGTATGTTGTTTTTCTTACAGATGTGACATTACAGCCCACCCCTGCCCTGACATACCGCACCACCGGAGGGATTTTGGACTTCTACATTGTTTTGGGGCCAACCCCTGAACTTGTAACTCAGCAATACACCGAGGTTAGAAGCCATTCTGTCCATCAATATATTGTCAAATATTTATTGGCTATTACCACATTATTAGCACTGAGATAAGGCAGTTTTTTCTTTTGACCCTTGAGTGTCACTACTAGATTATTACTGCCTTTGCTGAAATCATATTTTAGTATTATGGTTCTATAAAGCCACATTAATATCCCATGTGTCCCTCACTTGCTAAACAGCCTATCTAAGAATTGCTAATCAGTAATAACCAGCAAATCTCAGGTTTCCTAGAATGAAAACTCTGGAATATAAAAAAACTCCAATTACAAAGTTTCTATCATTCTGCATGTCCGTAGTTGCTCCACATTTATTGTACTTTCTTATCTTTCTTGGGTGAGGCCTCTTAGACAGTACTTAGCAGAAACACTCAAGTTGATTCAAGTATAAGTCAACTACCTTTTTTCTTCCCTAAGAAGTCCATCTGGATGCATTTTTCTTTTTATTCTAGTTGATCGGTCGGCCAGCAATGATTCCATACTGGGCCTTGGGATTCCAGTTGAGTCGCTATGGATACGAGAATGATGCTGAAATCTCCAGTTTGTATGATGCAATGGTGGCAGCCCAGATTCCCTATGTATGAAACCCTCACTCAGCCCGAGGTGTAATCAGTTACAGGAATTTGTGGCTAATATTATATTAGAAGTGCTATGATGTTCTTATCAAAGATAACTTGATATATCCAGGCTGAATTTTTTTTCTTTGTATATACTATAATACTATATACTTATCAAACAGAAATTAGAAAATAGGAAAATTACAGGATGAAAAAAATCCATTGATATACCTTACCAAAGTAATCAACATTAATAACATGCTGGTTTATTCTTTTCCAAATTTTGGCTTATGCACAAGTCTCTGTTTTACCAAACAAGTTTCACCTGGGGTCATATGGCAATGCAGGTGATTATCCCTTTGGGCTAAAAAGAAGCAACTTCTTTTTTTTTTTTTTTTTTTTTTACTAAATATTAACCACTTTAGTTATTATTCAATTATCATGGTTTGAGCAAGTTTCATGTGCAGAAACCTGGGTTGGTACTGCATAGAGAAATCTAGACATTCAAGAAAGCTATAAAATAATGTAGTTCTTGTATGTTGGTGTAAGGAAGGGGTTCAGTTTCCATTCTACATATGGCTAGCCAGTTTTCCCAGCAACATTTATTGAATAGGGAGTCCTTTCCCCATTGCTTGTTTTTGTCAGTTTTGTAGAAGATCAGATAGTTGTAGGTGTATGGTCTTGTTTCTGGGTTCTCTATTATTTGCCATTGGTTTATGTGTCTGTCCTTGTACCAGTACCATGCTGTTTTGATTACTGTAGCCCTGTAGCATAGTTTGAAGTGGGATTGTCTGATGTCTCCAGCTTTGTTCTCTTTGCTTAGGATTTCCTTGGCTATTTGGGCTCATTTTTGGTTACATATATGAATTTTAAAATAATTTTCTCTAGTTCTGTGAAGAATGTCAATGGTAGTTTAATGGGAATAGAATTGAATCTATAAATTGCTCTGGGCAGTATGGTCATTTTAACGATACCAATTCTTCCTATCTATGAGCATGTTTTTCCATTTGTTTGTGTCATCTCTGATTTCTTTGAACAGTGGTTTGTAGTTCTCCTTGTAGAGATCTTTCACCTCCCTGGTTAGCTGTATTCCTAGGTATTTTATTTGTGGCAATTAGGAATGGGAGTTCATTTGTGGTTTGGCTCTAGGCTTTACTGTTGGTGGTGCATAGAAATGGTAGAGTTTTTTGTACATTGATTTTGTATCCTGAGACTTTGCTGAAGTTGCTTATCAGCTTAAGAAAGTTTTGGGCTGAGATGATGGAGTTTTATATATAGGATCTTGTCTATATGACAAGATCTAGTATCTAGATACAAAATCATGTCATCTGCAAATATGAATAGCTTGACTTCCTCTTTTCCTATCTGAATGCCCTTTGTTTTTTTTTCTCTCTGTCTCTGTTTTTTTTTTTTTTTTTTTTGAAACAGAGTCTCCCTCTGCTGCCTAGGCTGGAGTGCCGTGGTGTGATCTCGGCTCACTGCAACCTCCACCTCCTGGGTTCAAGTGATTCTCCTGCCTCAGCCTCCTGAGTAGCTGGGACTACAGGCACAGGCCACCACGCTCAGCTAATTTTTTTAAAAATATTTTTAGTAGAGACGGGGTTTCACCATGTTGGCCAGGCTGGTCTCGAACTCCTGACCTCAGGTGATCCACCTGCCTCAGCCTCCCAAAGTGCTGGGATTACAGGCATGAGCCACCGTGCCTGACCCTTTTATTTATTTCTCTTGCCTGATTGCCCTGGTCAGAACTTCCAATACTACGCTGAATAGGAGTGGTGAGAGAGAAAACCTTATCTTGTGCTGGTTTTCAAGGGGAATGCTTTCAGCTTTTGCTCATTCAGTATGATATTGGCTGTGGGTTTGTCATCTATGGCTCTTATTATTATGAGATATGTTCCTTTAGTACCTAATTTATTGAGAGTTTTCAATCAGCCATATTTACTGTAGAAAAAAAACCAGATATACAATCCTGTTTGTTTCCTAGGAAAGTCCCAGTTTCTACCCTTGAACATTTCAATTAGAACTTTGTTTGATAGAGTGAGTTTGAGATTTGAAGAGTAAGAAAGACATGAATTGAGGAAAGGAAAGGGGATAGAGTTCCAACTGGGGAAACAGAAGGAGAAGGATGGGCACAGGTGAACTGCATGCAGGCATCAGAAAGCAATTTCAATTTGCATAACTGAAAAGTCAGCAGAGGGAAGTAATGAGATGAGGAATGAAGAGGGGCCTGGACTGGGGCAGGCAGGTAGCAGGACCAGGGGCCTGGCAGAGCAGTTAGTGTGACCTGCAGGGCACCTTCTGCAGGGTTCCAAGCGCCTTGCTGCTTCTTTCTGCAGGACGTCCAGCATGTAGACATCGATTACATGAACCGGAAGCTGGATTTCACCCTCAGTGCCAACTTTCAAAACCTCAGTCTTCTGATTGAGCAAATGAAGAAAAATGGCATGAGATTTATTCTCATTTTGGTAGGTATTGAGACAGATTAGATCCTACTTTATGTTTCCATATTCATGGTTTAAAAATAGCACCATTGTGGGAAACTGGATGAAGGGTACAAGAAATGTTCCTGTACTCTGTACTTTTTTTTTGTTTTGCAACTTCTTGTGGTGAATCTATAATTGTTATTTTTAATTTAAAAGCAAACGAAAGAAAGAAATGAAAAGGGGCTTTTAAAATATGATACATTATAATGTTTATTTTCCATAACTGTCACTGGAATATAATTATTGTTCTCTTGGTAGAGTTAGAACAACTGTGGGCTGAAGCACTGAAGATAGAAAAAAAAAAAAGGGGCATCTTACTGTTTCAGGCTATGTCTCAGGAAAAATAGCTGTATCTTAGTCTCATCTTTACCTCAGGGGGTTCAAAAATCTCTTACGTTGTATCATCACTCAGAAATGGTAAGGCTCAGGTGACATTTCTTCTTGAACTTACAATTGAGTTAAGATCCAGAATACCAATTTATTATATTACTAGGAAGCTGCGTCTTGATAAATGCAGAGGTAATTATCTGCAAATGATTCTCCCTTCTAGCTTCCAAAAAATTACAGCATTATTTGGTGACTTTTGTTCACTTACTAATTCATGTATTTATTGAACACAATATTTGAAAACCACTCTTCTACAAGTTGTGTGTGCATGTGTGAGGGTGCATGCATAGTCTAAATTAGCAAGACAGTGCCCTTTTTCTTACAAAGTTTTTATTCTAATGGAGGGAGAGAGCCAATACACATTTGAAAAGATAATTTCAGACAGTAGTGATTTATATGACAATTGTGAAACAGCATAATATTATAGAGAATAATTGGGGCAGGTATGGGATGGAGTGAACAGGAGAAGCTACTTTAGATAGACACATTGGGACACAGAGGGCAATAAAGAAGTTTCACGTTTTTGAGGAATATTGCTATTATACTCTGGAAACACAATAAATTGGCTCTCTCTGCTTGAAGATTAAGTCTTATTAACCTGGTTTATCTCCAGGAGTTGTTTCCAAACACTAGCAAAAGTTTTTCTCAAGAATTGTATGGAGAAACACCAATACATTCTTTTACTTCTCAACTCTCTTTGTAAAAATAGATTTCTATGTCATTGGAAAAAAATCACTTATGTCATATTTAAATTCCTATAGGGGTTTTTAACATCTTATTTATTTGTTTATTTAAATAATTCAGGGTTAAAGTTTTTTTAACTTTTATTTTAGATTCAGTATGTACATATATAGGTTTGTTGCAAATGTGTATTATGTAATGCTGAGGTTTGGAGTATGTATTAGTCTGTTTTCATGCTGCCAATAAAGACATACCTGAGACTGGGCAATTTACAAAGGAAAGATGTTTAATGGACTCACAGTTCCACATGGCTGGAGAGGTCTCACAATCATGGCAGAAGGTGAAAGGCATGTCTCTCATGGTGGCAGACAAGAGAAGAGAGTTTGTGCAGGGAAACTCCCCTTTTTAAAACCATCAGATGTCGTGAGACTTATTCACTGTCATGAGAACAGCAGGGAAGGACCTGCCCCCATGATTCAATTACCTCCTACCAGGTCCCTCTTACAACACATGAGAATTCAAGATGAAATTTAGGTGGGGACAGACCCAAACCATATCAGAGTATGATGGAACCCATCACCCAGGTAGTGAACATAGTACCAAACAGGTAGTTTATCAACCCTTGCCCCACTCCCTCCCTCTCCTCTCTTGTAGTTTCTGGTGTCTCTTATTCCCACCTTTATGTCTGTGTGTACACAATACTTAGCTCTCACTTATAAGTGAGAACATGTGGTATTTGCATTTCTGTTCCTGCATTAATTCACATAGAATAATGGCCTACAGCTATATCCATGCTGCTGCAAATAACATAATTTCATTCTTTTTATGGCTGTGTACTATTCCATGATATATATTTACCATATTTTCTTTATCCAATCTACCATTGATGGACTCCTGGGTTAACTTCATGTCTCTGCTCTTGTGAATAATGCTGTGATAAACATACAAGTACATATGTTTTTTGAGCGATTAATTTATTTTCCTTAGGGTATATACCTAGTACTGGGGTTGCTGGGTGGTATGTTAGATCAATTCTTAGTTATTTGAGAAATCTCCAGATTGCTTTCCACTGTGGATGAACTAATTTACATTCCCACCAACAGTGTGTTAAGTGTTCTCTTTTCTCCACAGCCCCACCAACATCTATTTTTTGACTTTTCAACAAAAGCCATTCTGACTCAAGTGAGATGGTATCTCATTGTGGTTTGATTTGCATTTCTGTATTAGTTATGCTCAGCATTTTTTCATATGTTTGTTAGCCACTTGTATGTTTTCTTTTGAGAAGTGTCTGTTCATGTCCTTTGCCTACTTTTTAATGGGATTGTTTGTTTTTGACTTGTTGATTTAAGTTCCATATATATTCTGGATTTTAGGCCTTTGTCAGAATCATAACTTGCTAATATTTCCTCCCATTTGGTAGGTTACCTTGTTACTCTGTTGACAGTTTCTCTTGCTGTGCAGAAGCTGTTTATTTTAATTAGATCCATTGTCAATTTTTGTTTTCATTGCAATTGCTTTTGAGGACTTAGTCATAAATTATTTGCTAAGGCCAATGTCAAGAAGAACATTTCCTAGATTTTCTTCTAGGATTTTTGTAGTTTGAGGTCTTACATTTAAGTCTTTAATCTATCTTGAGTTAATTTTTGTATACAGTGAAAGGTAGGAGTCCAATACCATTCTTTTGCATATGGTGAGCCAGTTATCCCAGCACCATTTATTAATAAAATATTCTTTCCTTCTTACTCATTTTTGTCAAATTTTCTGAAGATCAGATAATAATTGTAGGTGTTTGATAGTATACTTTGAGGTTGGGTAATGTGATATCTCTAGCTTTTTTCTTCTTGCTTAGAATTGCTTTGGCTATTCAGGCTCTTTTTTGGTTCCATGTGAATGTTAGAATAGTTTTTCTAATTATGCAAAAAATGACATTTGTAGTTTAATAGATATAGCATTGAATCTATGAATTGCTTTGGGAAGTGTGGCCTTTTTAATGATGTTAATTCTTCCAGTCCGTGAGCATGAAATGTTTTTTTATCTGTTTGTGTCATCTCTGATTTCCTTCAACAGTATTTTGCACTTCTTGTAAAGGTCTTTCACCTGCTTGGTTAGATGTATTCCTAGGTATTTTATCCTTTCTGTTGTTGTTGTAAATGGGATTGCGTTCTTGATGAACTATAAAACATTCTTGTTTTTATAGTTCTTCTAGGTGTGAAGCTGGATCGTTAATTTGAGGTCTTTCTAACTTGAGATTTCTAATTTGAGATTTCTCAGCTTGAACATTATTGATGTTTTATATATATATATAGAAATGCTACAATTTTTGTACATTAATTTTGTTTCTTGAATTACAAAAACTACTAATTTTTGTACATTAATTTTGTTTCTTGAAACTTTACTGAAGCTGTTTATCAGTTCTAGGAGCCTGTTGGCAAAGTGTTTAGGGTTTTCTAGATATGGAATGATGTCATCTGTGTAGAGAGAGAGTTTGACTTCTTTTCTTATGTGGATGCGTTTTATTTTTTTTCTCTTGCCTGATTGCTCTGGCAAGGACTGTCAGTATTATGTTAAATAGGAGTGATGAAAGGGGGCATCCTTGTCATGTTCCAGTCCTCAAGAAGAATGCCTCCAGCTTTTTCCCATTCAGTATGATGTTGGCTGTGGGTTTGTCAGAGATAGCTCTTATTTTGAGGTACTTCCCTTTGATGCCTAATTTCTTGAGGGTTTTATCATGAAGGAATGTTGGATTTTATCAAAAGCTCTTTCTACATCTATTGAAGCTATCATATGGCTTTTGTTTTTAATTCTGTTTATATGGTGAATCACATTTATTGATTTGCCTATGTTGACCCAACCTTGCATCCCAGTGTTATGGGGAAAAGCCTACTTGAACATGGTCAGTTAACTTTTTGATGTGCTCCTGGGTTTCGTTTGTTAATCTTTTGTTGAGGATTTTTGCATCTGTGTTCATCAGGGATATCAGCCTGAAGTTTTCTTTTTTTATTGTCTCTGGCAGATACTGGTATCAGGATGATGCTGGTTTTGTAGAATCACTTAGGGATGCATCCCTCCTCAAGTTTTTGGAATTTCAGTAGGATTAGTACCAGCTGTATGTACATTTAGTAGGATTTTACTGTGAATTCATTTGGTTAAGGACTTTTTTTATGGTTGCTGGGCTTTTTATTGCTGATACAATTTTAGAATTTATTATTGGTCTGTTTAGGGTTTTATTTCCTTTCTGGTTCAATCTTGGAAGGTTGTGTGTTTCTAGGAGTTTATTCATTTCCTCTAGATTTCCTAGTTTGTGTGCATGGAGATGTTCATAAAAATCTTTAAGGATATTCTGTATATCTGTGGGACTGGTTGTAATGTCATCTTTGTCATTTATGATTATACTTATTTGGCCTATAATCTTGTTTATCCTTTCCAAAAAGCAACTTTTGCTTTTGTTGGTCTCTTGTATGAATTTTTGAGTCTTAATTTTGTTTAACTCTGCTCTGCTTTTGATCATTTATTTTCTTCTGCTGTCTTTGGGGTAAGTTTGTTCCTGTTTTTATCGTTCTTCTAGTTGTGAAGTTGGATTGTTCATTTGAGATCTTTCTAACTTCTTGATATAGGCATTTATGGCTATAAACTTTCCTAGTGTTTCTTAGGGATGATCATCTTGCATAATATTTCATAGGGATTCTCTGAATTTCTTAAATTCACATGTTGACTTCTCTAGCAAGATTGGGGAAATTATCATGGACGATATCTTCAAATATGCTTTCCAAATAATTTTTTGTTTCCCCTTCTCTCTTAGGAATGTGAACGAGTCATAGATTTGGCCTCTTTTTTTTTTTTTAGAGACGGAGTCTCGCTCTGTCGCCCAGGCTGGAGTGCAGTGGCGTAATCTCGGCTCACTGCAAGCTCCACCTCCTGGGTTCATGCCATTCTCCTGCCTCAGCCTCCCAACTCCCGAGTAGCTGGGACTACAGGTGCCCGCCACCATGCCTGGCTAATTTTTTGTATTTTTAGTAGAGACAGAGTTTCACCATGTTAGCCAGGATGGTCTCGATCTCCTGACCTCGTGATCCACCCATCTCAGCCTCCCAAAGTGCTGGGATTACAGGCGTGGCCCACCGCACCCAGCCAGATTTGGCCTCTTTACATAATTCTATATGTCTCAGAGGTTTTGTTCATTTTTAAAAATTGTTAAAAATATTTTTTTTTCTGACTGAGTTGTTTACAGGGACTGGTCTTTGAGTACTGAGATTCTTTCCTCAGCTTGGTCTATTCTGTTGTTAATACTTGCAATTGTGTTATAATTTTTTGTTTTAATTCCAGAAGTTGAGTTTAGGAAGTTCAGTTTAGCCATTCAGTTAAAATGGCTCTGTTATCTTTCACCTCTTGGATCATTTTACTGGCTTCTTTGGATTGAGTTTCAACATTCTCCTGAATCTTGTTCAGTGTCCTTGTCATCCAGGTTTTGAATTCTATATCTGTCACTTAGGCCACTTCAATCTGGTTATGAACCGTTGCTGGGGAGCTAGTGAAATTGTTTGGTGGTCAGAAGATACTCTGACTTTTTGAATTGCTAGGATTCTTGTGCTGATTCTTTCTCATCTGAGAGGGCAGATGTTCCTTTATCTTTTTGAAGTTGCTGTCTTCTGGATATGGCTTTTTGCCTTTATAGTCTTTATTTTCCTTGAGGGTTTGACTGTGGTGTATGTTGAATATAGTTGATTGGCTTCATTTCTGGGTGCTTTAAGAGGCCCAGGGCTCTTTCAGAGATCTGTGTCTGTGGCTGAATTCCTGCATTGGATTTCACAGGCAGTGTATACTAAAATAATTTTGTTTGGTGGTGTAATTTAGGTTACAATACAGTAGATGGTATTTAAGAGTAATTACCAGAAAATAGCCTCTTACTCAGCTGCATGCCTCTTTCATATTTCAGTACATTTGCAATAGTGCTATGGGGTGAGGGAGATGGGAGATCCAGAGATGGCCCCCTTGCCAAGTCGATTTTTGGTGCTTGAGGAAGCCCCCCCTAATCACTGATGTCATGCCTGTTAGCCCCAAGGGAAACCCTGACAGGCTATGCTCTTCCCTCTTAGGGGCAGCCTGAGCCAAAGTTCAGGTCACCATAAGAACTGCAGCTCCCTGCTGGTCCTCTGTACTTGGCAGAGTCGGAGTGGGTTGTGGGGTATGTCTGGGGGTGATCTGTTGATGCAGTGGTTCAATGGCAGAAGGTCCCCAGGCACCGCAGTGTTGCTGTAGGGGTGCAGCTGATATGGTGCCATGATCCAGTATTTTCTGCACAGCAGATGGCTTTGGGGACTTCTCAGCTTGCTCTCCCCCGACTGAGTCTCCTTGCAATGTCTGCCCCAGTAGCTGCCCTGACAATCTAGTTTTGTCCCAAGCCTTTTGCACCCAGATTGTTGGTCTGTTAGATGTTCTGGGCTGTGGAGCTCCCTTGGGCAGAGGCTGTGGCTGGTAAATAGGTTACATGCCTCCCAGACCACTGTTGCAGAGGGAGGCATGCCCAATTCCCACACCAGCACACAAGCCCATACCTCACTCTCGTCAGCGTTCTGAGAGTGGGGCTTCTCCTCTCCTCAAGCCTCAGCCACAGATCTTGCAGCGGGATAATTAAGGAATCAGAGAGACCGAGGGGTTGAGGAGGAATTATTTAATTATTTAGGTGCACTGACCCAGTCAGATTAACATCCAAAGGACTGAACCCCAAACAAAGAGTCAAGCTACCTTTTAAGCATTTTGTGGGGCAGAGAGAGATCTCTGCAGGGAGAAGCATATTACAGAAGTGAGAAACAAAGACAGTTATTCAATTAAGACATGCATTACATTATTTCTTACTTTTCAAGGAACAACATGTTTTACGACTTGAGATTATCTGCCTAGTGACCTTGCATCTGCACAGCTAGAGAAACGGGGTCTTCACAACGCCTGGGAAAAGGAGAGATAAGGCTCGCTAGCCACAGAAAAATAGAGTTAATTTTAAAGGACTCCAGCCCTTTCTCTTCTTCAGGGGAAATTGGAGTTTCTTACATACAACTGAGTTTTTGCTTACACATTCTTTAATTTCTTTTAATTCCTGTTCCAATCTCAGCTAGATAATCCTGATTTGTGTGCTTAAACTCTGGTGGGTTGGGACTGGGCCTGCAGCTTTGTTTTCTGGCCTTAGGGTCAAGCACTGGCTCTGCTAGGGGTCAGAGTACTTCCAGGCCACCAGCAAAGAACTCAGGTAGGGCAGTGGAGGCTGTGCTGTGTGCATTCTCTTTTGGGAGCAGCCAAGCAGTGGCCTTGGAAGGGGCTGGCAGACAGGGGTGGCGTGCAGATCAGATGCACCCTGGTTCTGTAAGAAAGACAATTCTGCTGTCTCCCAGCTCAGCTGTCAACAGGGGCTAGAGCCACTCAGAGCAAGATCGAGAACCTTTGCAGATGGGTCCCCATGGTCGTGTTTTGCTGCAGATGCCCTGTCTGGTCTCTGCACAGGCTTGAACTCTGCCTCTGCCTACTCTCCAGGCAGTTTCTCTTACCAATTCAAATGTCTATGGTGTTTGTGGGGTCTGTTGTAGCTAGGATCCTGGATGTGTGCAGTGGGAGTGTCCCTTCACTCACCCCTTCCTTAGGACCTGTTCAGTTCCAGGAGCGTCCTGGCACTCAGCAACTCTGTGTGGGATTTCCAGCTTTTTCCCTCTTACACCTCAGTGTTTGCATTGCTTCTCTATAGACTGTCAGTGTTTTCTTTCAAAAGCTCTGTTTGAAGTGTGATAGTTTACTCAGTATTTTGGTTTTTCTCAGTGGGAGAGGTGCTTCCCAGCTGCATCTAGCTGGCCATATTGTCCCCTTGCCTCTCATTTTATTACTTACAGCTTTGGGTGGTAACTTTTTGTAATATAGAAAGGCTTCTTCGTTTGTTGACACAGATTTGTATACCCTTTGAAAGAAATTGCCCCGCATAAGGGTTTTATATCTTATGTTGAGTACCCATGGCACCATCTCTTTTCAATTGGCTATGGTAATATATGCAGTAAGACATAAGACAAATTATCATTGCTTTTTATTTTAATTCATTTTATTTTTGGTATTGCGATTCACCATTTCCTTCTGCACTATCAACTAGTAGGAGAGAAATTTTCTTAGAGATGTTTTCCTCACATTTGCTGTTTGAAATTCTTTTACTGCAGGACCCAGCCATTTCTGGCAATGAGACACAGTATCTCCCATTCATTAGAGGACAGGAAAATGACGTGTTCATCAAATGGCCTGACACCAGTGACATTGTCTGGGGAAAGGTAAGGCTTGGGGAATGTGCTTATAGTTAATTAACATCACAATGTCTTGAAATAAAACAGCTCTTGATACATATTGGAAAATATATTGGACAATCAATAAATTACGAATGAGTAGAAATCTGTCCGATGCTGATTAGCTCAATAAGCGTTAATAAGACCAAAGTTACAAATCTTATCCTCTATTATTATTGAGCACTGTCTATTGCCTGGAAATACTCTGATGTCCCCACTCTTTATTTATTCCACATGGTCACTTAATAAACATTAAGAATCCCTTTTAGAATGACACTGAAATCTGTATCTCTCAGCCACCTACATGCAAAGCATGCATTCATCTTTGACCTATTGTGCTTAATCTGCTTTCATATCTAAATGAATCATTAAATCCTATAGATTCTTCTCTTTCTCTTGTTTCCTTTAATTCATCTTTATGGCTTCAGTCTTCATCTTCATATGTCTGATTTATAGCAATAGCATTTTAGGTGGATTTCAGGTGATAGTAGCTTTTAGCCTAGATTCAAATTCTGTTCCTTAATTATACTATGCTACTTCCTACTGCTCTGAGCATATTCCATGCTCACTTTTTTTTTTTTTGAGATTGAGTCTTGCTCTGTTACCCAGGCTGGAGTGCAGTGGCGTGATCTTGGCTCACTGCAACCTCCTCTTCCCAGGTTCAAGCGATTCTCCTGCCTCAGCTTCCTGAGTAGCTGGGATTACATGTGTGCACCAACGCTCCCGATTAATTTTTGTATTTTTAGTAACAATGGGGTTTCACCATGTTGACCAGGCTGGTCTCGAACTCATGACTTCTGGTGATTCACCTGCGTCGGCCTCACAAATTGCTGGGATTACAGACGTGAGCCACTGCACCTGGCCCCATGCTCACTTTGAATATTACCTTCTCAGCTTACCCAGATAATATCTTCACTTCAGGATCAACTCAAATCTTAACTCATTTGAAGCAGCTAGTAACTATTTTAGTTTTTCCTGTTTTCCCTTTTCTGTAATATTGCCTTCAGTATAGCATACAGTGTAGCATTTATGTACTATCTGTGAACTCTTAGGAAACAAGTACTATTTCTTACTTAAATCTCAGTAAATACAGATCCTGGAAGAGTGCTTGTCATACAGGAAGTACTCAGTAAGTGTCTGTTGATTGAATCAATTAATCAGGGTGTGTATAGTTAATGTCCTGGTAGTTACAGGTAAAATTGGTTGATGCTATGGATTTTTTTAATGCTACATATACTTGGAGTCCCCTATAAGTCATGATAGTGATTAAAAGTGTTGAGATGAGGTTTATGGGTTGTGAATGGAAATCAATCTTATTTCTTTAGAGTCATACTTCACACTTACTGTGAATTTTATTATAGGTCTATGACAAGGAGATCAGAGATCTGAGAAATCACTTGAAAGTTGGTTGTTCAGGGATATGTTTAAAAGAAATTAGTTAATTATTAAATTCAAAAATAGAATTTTGAAAACATGTGGAATGAATCAAGAGACCCAATGTAATTTTGTAGATTCTGCCTTTACAGTTTAATTTATGGCAAAGATTCCCAAGCGTTTTGTGGAGATGCAAGTCATCAGAGTCTAACACATGAAATATCTCATAGTCTGTATGCAATAATCTTTAAAGGTTTTAATTGCCCTTCTTTTTCTCTAGGTTTGGCCAGATCTGCCTAATATAATTGTAGATGGATCCCTTGACCATGCAACTCAGGTTAAGGTACAGTTGTATATACATTTTTGTCAACATTGCCCTAAACATCTGGATGTTTATGTTTTTCATCCTGATGAATGAGTAGCTAACCCTTGAGTTAAGTAGCCCTAACTTGAGGGTGCTTATCCACTACTAGTTTCTTGGCAGAAAGAGATCCTCGAGTGGAAGGCTCAACAAACAGTGAACATGGAAATGTGCAGAAGGAAATCATCAATGAAATCTCTCATAAGTGTGCTTTTAATGAGCTGTGATTTATTTTAACTTTATGTCGCTTGAAAAATAATGAACCAAAGTCTTGCATTTTCTCACTAGAGGGGAATCCATTATGAACAGACTGAATTTTAATAAATTATCTGCATACAAAAGAAAATACAAGTCAGTTGAATGAAGGAAAGTTGTTCATCTCAGCCTGGTCATCTAGCATCCCCTCTACTCTGGAGTTTACTTGTCCCTGGATGATAGTCCTCCTTCATCTCATTTGACTGGTTTAGAAAAATCTTTTGTTCCCCTTCCCATGTCCAAGTGATCTCATTGGGAGAGTGTAAGTGTCCAGGAAATTATCCATTTCTTCTAGGTTTTCTAGTTTATTTGCGTAGAGGTGTTTAGAGTATTCTCTGATGGTAGTTTGTATTTCTATGGGGTCGGTGGTGATATCCCCTTTATCATTTTTTATTGTGTCTATTTGATTCTTCTCTCTTTTCTTCTTTATTAGTCTTACTAGTGGTCTATCAATTTTGTTGATCTTTTCAAAAAACCAGCTCCTGGATTCATTGATTTTTTTGGAAGGTTTTTTTGTGTCCCTATCTCCTTCAGTTCTGCTCTGATCTTAGTTATTTCTTGCCTTCTGCTAGCTTTTGAATGTGTTTGCTCTGGGGGAAGGGGGGAGGAATGGCATTGGGAGTTATAACTGATGTAAATGACGAGTTGATGGGTGCTGATGAGTTGATGGGTGCAGCACACCAACATGGCACATGTATACATATGTAACAAACCTGCACGTTGTGCACACGTACCCTAGAATTTAAAGTATAATAATAATAAAAAAAAATTTTTTTAAATGATTTTCTAAGTTAAGCCAGTGTCTTTCTGAAGACGAACTATAATGAAGCATAGAAATATCCAGAAAAAGTAGCCTATAGAATATGCATCTTTTCTGCAATTTCAAGTAGTATGTATGTTGAGAATTAAACTGGCCTGCCAAAAAAAAAAAAAAGAAAAAGAAAAACTTTTGCTACATTCACTGATTTTTAAGTAAAAAAAAAAAAAAGAAAGAAAAAAAGAAAAAGTATTTGCATCTCTAAAGTTCACTTGTTTAGACATTGCTAATTTACCAGTCTTGTGATTACATGTCCAGTTATAAAACAAATCCTGTATTTGAAAGGGATTTTAATCTAACCTTCTTCTAAGAAAATAAAGAATGAAATCAACCTTCCCCAATCTCTACTTCTGTTGTGAACTCTGCAACAGAAGCAGATCTGAGATTAGAGCAGAGACTGATCTGGGCAGGCACAAATTCCTGTTCGTCTCCCATTTGTGGTCCCCTGGATAGGCTGAGACCCCGACTGTGACAGTGTGTGTTATTCTTACAGCTCTACAAGGCCTACGTTGCCTTTCCTGACTTCTTTCGTAATAGCACAGCTGCGTGGTGGAAGAAAGAGATAGAAGAGCTCTATGCAAACCCTCGAGAACCAGAGAAGAGCCTGAAGTTTGACGGATTGTGGATTGTAAGTGCACCCTTGGTTGTCTTTTTTTTTTTTGGAAATATTAGCAAGTCAAAACATGGGGAGGAGAGACTAGCAAAGCAGAGACGTAGGACTGAAGAGATGAAAGGGAGAAATGCTGTTACAGAATCGAGATGCAGGGACCAAGAGAAGCAGAGACCATTGCTGATCTGCCCAGGGACATATTGTCTGGTGGAAGTGGGAACCCACAGAGGAGACTGCTACTGCTGGAGATGCCAGAGCAAAAGAGAGAGGGAGAAATCACCTCCCATCTCCAATCTCTTGCCAATATCCGCCATTGGCCAAATTTACCTGAAAGCTTTTGGTAAGGGCGTCTTACAGGGCAGAACTGGGAGTGGGTGAGGCATGGAGCTGAGAGCAAGTAGGCATTCACCATAGTACCGGGGCAGACAACTCTGAGGGAATGGCTTAAAGGGCCTGTTCAGACGTTTGTTGTAAATGCCAGTTGGACTTAAAAGCAGGACTTCCTGAGATGTCCCTGGGATATATGTCCAAGGGCAACTCTATCTATGTTTTCTTCTGTCCTGATTTCCTTCCCCACTGTCCAGTGGCCTGAAATCTTAAGCAAGCTCTAGGCCAGCTCTGAAGGGCTGTTCAACGCTGGGTCAGGCTGGAAGAAGTTTGTGATTCAGTGGACAAAAGTCCACTGAAACTCGTGGGGCCTTCCTGGCCATCTGCACCTTTGGGATAGTTAGGCACAGAGTAGACATGTGAAAGGACACAAATTAACTCAAGCAGGCAAATCAGACAGTGAAGAGGTGTGGGCAGCTTTGAGAATAAGATACACTGAGAACTCTGGGGTCATATTTGTTTTTCCAGTGGAGGGAAAGCTATAGCTGGGTAATTCAAAGTAGTGAATAGTTCCTCAAGTACTTTCATTTGTCTTTAATATGTCCTATTTAAAATAGTCTGGCATTCAAAAATTTAACTGTTCCATTGTCTAAGTGTGAAGCGAGCATTCCCTTAGGAGCCCCTACTCCTTGCATTTAAGTAATAAATTCCCCAAAGCACATTTTTATTTCCAAACTTGTTTCTGAGTTATGTACAGCTTTTCAGAAATATATTTATGGCAGAAAGTGAGATAACTCTCCTCATGTTTGGGCTATGCCAATATCAGAATTAGTCCAAGCGATTGGACTAAGGTAAAATAGACGAAGATAATAGTAACCTCTGTCCACAGATTAAAAAGTGAATAATCCATGCACAGAAAAACAAAGATGGGCTACCTCTGTTGGGGATTTGTATCAAGAGATTTCCTTAGGTCCTGGATCCAGCAGTACCTCACTATTTTTGCCACTATAAAACAATCCTTGTAAGTTTTAAAATGCCAGGTAAGCAAGAAGGAGTTTAGCACTCCACTTTGGCCGATATACATTTTTAGAGTCCATTTGGGTCAATGCCAGGAATTAAACTACACATTTTTAGAGTCCATTTAGGTCAATGCCAGGGATTAAACACAGTGAACTAAACCACCAGCTGAGGTGAGGGTTTCAAAAGTCATCTCCCTGAGGTAGTGTCCTCTACAACCGAAGCCATCCTGCCCCTGACATGATGGGATCTTTTTTTGTTAACTCATTTCAGGATATGAATGAGCCATCAAACTTTGTGAATGGATCTGTCAGGGGCTGCAGCGATGAAATGCTAAATAACCCACCCTATATGCCATGTATGTAAAATAATTACTTCATCAACTTACTTCCCTACTCAAAGACTCTAAAAGTTTTCCTTTTACTGTCAAAGTGAAGTCTAATGTTGAAGACAGAAAGCATTCTCCAACATGCCATGAAATCCCAAGTAAGATAACCTTGAATAAGTGCAGATAAACGAATTCCTAATCAAGCAAGAAATAATGACATGATGTGGTGTGAAAGAAGCCACACAATGTGTGATACATTTGATTCCATTGATAACTATGAACGGATTGCTATAATTTTAAATAAACCCTAACACACGCACACACACACACACACACACACACACACGGAGAGATGTTCTTTTTTTTGGAGACGGCATCTCACTCTGTCGCCCAGGCTGGAATGCAGTGGTGCAATCTTGGCTCACTGCAACCTCCGCCTCCCGGGTTCAAGCAATTCTCCTGCCGCAGTCTCCCGAGTAGCTGGGACTATGGACACACACTGCCACGCCCAGCTAATTTTTTGTGTTGTAGTAGAGACGAGGTTTCACTGTGTTGCCAGGCTGGTCTTGAACTCCTGAGCTCAGGTAATCCGCCCACCTCAACCTCCCAAAGTGCTAGGATTACAGAGATGTTCTTTGGATTAGAAAATTAAAACTTAGTTTCTGAAGTCTCTCTGCCCGTGTAAACAGACATTTGATGCAGCATATTTCTTGGTCATCCTGTGGTACAAACAAAAATAAAATGTTGGGGTCAAAAGGATCTCAGAAAGTTGAATCATCTAATGTAACAGAGAAACAAGGAAGGAAATGACTCACTTCCTAAAAGTACGGTACCACGGCTGAGGTGGGAGGATTGTTCGAGACCAGGAGTTTGAGTCTTGAGACCAGCCTGGGCAACATAGTGAGACCCACACACACACACAAAAACAAAACAAAACAAAAAAAACACCCCAAAACAGAAAAACAGCAACAACAAAAGACACTATACGAGTAATCTTGGGACAGAATCTAGAATCCAAGTTTCTTGATGTCTACATCACTGTTATGCTGCCCATTGCTCACTCACTCACTCATTCATTCATTCATTCATTGTCTCCTTCATTAATTTAATGCAGAGGGTGTTTGACTTGCAATGGTCTGACTTATGATTTTCAACCTTACAACGATGAGAAAGTGACATACATTCAGTAGAAACGAGCTTTGAGAACCCAAATAGCCATTCTATTTTTCACTTTCACTATAGCGATCAGTAAATTACAAGAGATATTCAACATTTTGTTTTAATACAGGCCTTGTGTTAGATAATTTTGCCCATCTTAGGCTAATGTAAGTGTCTGAGCACATTTAAAGTAGGTTAGGTCCACTCAATGCATTTTCAAGTTACAATATTTTCAACTTGTGATGGGTTCATGGGGATGTAATCACATTGTAAGTTGAGGATCATCTGTACTTATGTGTCAAGCAAATGCTGTCATATCAGAAAGATCTAGAGACACAAATACAAAAAAACGATTGAAATAAGATTTATTCCCTGGAGAACATTACCATCTAGTGGAAGAAACAGTCCTAACAATGAAGAAGTTTATTATGTTGGCAAAAGGGCTATGACAACACTCTATACATTAAATCAGAGTTGGTGCAAAAAGAAGGGGAGCTGCTTTTCCCAGCTCCATATTTTATCCTTACCCTTCATTAGTTACAAAGACACAGAACGTTGTTTTCTATAGACTAAAAACTCATAAAACTGGGCCTGTTACTTGTAACAAAGTTGTTGACTGAAATAAAGAAATGCCAAAATGATGGGCGTTTCTAGTGAATGTGCAAATTATGTTGTTTAGGAAATAACTCGACATTTCCCCTCAGATTTGGAATCTAGGGACAAGGGCCTGAACAGCAAGACCCTGTGCATGGAGAGTCAGCAGGTCCTGCCAGACGGCTCCCCCGTGAAACACTACAACGTGCACAGCCTGTACGGGTGGTCCCAGACCAGACCCACATACGAGTGAGTGTCTTTTTGTCACGGCAGCCAAGACAGTTTTCCACATTGTTCCTTTTGCCATTTCATATTTGCATTGTGCATGTATCTACGTGATCCCAGTTAAATGGGTTAATGTCAAAATTTCAGGCATGGTTGCCCAACCAACCACCTCTGAGTGCATTTATCAAGTAGGTTACTAAATTTACCTATTTAAAGTGAGCAATTAGGTAGTGTTTAGTATATTCATAGAGTTGTGCAACTATCACAACAATTAAATTTCAGAACATTTTTAGAACACCAAAAGGAAAACCTTTGCCCATTAGCAATCACTTCCAGCTTGTTCCTACCTCCTGAGCCCTAGCCGTTGCTCATCTATTTTCTGTCTACATAGATTGCCTATTCTGGACATTTCATAAAATTAAATCACACAATATGTGCTCTTTTGTATCTGGCTGCTTTCATTTGGCATAATGTTTTCAAGGATCATCTATGTTGTAGCATATATCAGTACTAGATCATCTATGTTGTAGCATGTATCAGTACTTGATTTCTTGTTACTGATTAATAATATTTCATTGTATAGATACACCATATTTTGCTTGCCTATCTACAAATGAGTGAACATCTAAGTTATTTCCATTTTTTTGGCTATTATGAGTAGTGATTATGTGACTATTTATGTGCAAGATTTGGAGTAGACATGTTTTCTTTGTTTTGAGTATGTATCTAAGAATGGAACTTCTGTGTCATATAGGAACTGTATTTTTAATATTTTGAAGAAATATCAAGCTGTTTTCTAAAGAGGCTGTACCATTTACGTCCTTTTTTTTTTTTTTTTGATGGAGTCTTGCTCTGTCGCCCAGGTGGGAGTGCAATGGTGTGATTTCGGCTCACTGCAACCTCCACCTCCTGGGTTCAAGTGATTCTCCAGCCTCAGACTCCTGAATATCTGGGATTACAAGCATGCACCACCATGCCTGGCTAATTTTTGTATTTTTTAGTAGAGACGGGGTTTCGCCATGTTGGCCAGGCTGGTCTCGAGCTCCTGACCCCAGGTGATCCACCTGCCTCGGCCTCCCAGAGGCTGGGATTACAGGCATGAGCCATCGTGCCTAGCCTACCATTTTACATTCTTACCTGCATGTATGATAAAATGTATAAGGGTTGCAATTCCTCCACATCCTTGCCAACCCTTGGTGGTATTCACCTTTTAAAATTACAGACATTCTAATGGGGGTAAAGTGATGTCTAATTGTTGTTTTCACTTTATTTTGCTAATACTAATGTTTTTGAGCATCTTTTCATATGCTATTGGCTATTTGTATATATTCAAGTATCTATTCAAATCCTTTGCTCATTTTTGATAGAATCTTTTTTATTATTATTATTGAGTTGTAGTCAGGCATGGTGGCTCACACCTGTAATCTCAGTACTTTGGGAGGCTGAAGTAGGAAGATTGCTTGAGTCCAGGAGT